GGAGGAAGAGAAGGAGGAGGAAGCGGGGGGCTAGCGGTTGCGTTTGCGATTATCGTGCGTGGAACGGGGGTGGGGGTTGAGAAGGAGGAGGAGGAGGAGGAGGAGGAGGAGGAGGATGGGTGAGCAAGCAACGACGACTATAATATTCTCCACTTACCCGGAATTGAGCCAAGCGTCGATCGGAGGTTAGTTAGCTTTTACAGCTCTTTCGCTCGTGCTTTATTAAAAAAAAAATGGAGAGGCCGACTGGATGAGAAGAAGGACAGCGCGCTTAGGACGCGCGTCTTCTGCCACTGCCAATATCGCGCGGGTTATACGCGGCTGTTGCCGCTACAACTGCCTTACCACGTCTGCCAATTGTCAATGGCAGCAGGTATCCGCTCCGCGTCCAGTGTCCCGCTTCGCGACTCCGTAACCTCACTTTTTACCGTCGCCGACAGTGCTAGTCGAGCCGTGACGTGGCGCCCTCTTTCGCACGCCGCTTCTAGTTTCGTTGACGTTGGTCCGTGGCGGCGCAGCTCCATCGGTATGTAAGGGACGGGGGCAGGTTCGATAAGTTTTTTTATTCCGCTCTATTCTCTATCTGCGATCGCTCCTTCCTCCCCAACTGTGGTGCACATGTATTTTGAAAGTTCGCTGGTGCGTGCCAGGTCGACCCGCTCGCAGGATTTCGCGAGGGCAGGCACGGTAAAAGCGCGAAAATCCTCCCGATTGGGATGCTGCGGAGCGGGAGGTGCTTACGACATTGTGACGATTAAAGAAGCTTGGCGTGCGTGGATGTTTACGCTCGAGGCAGCAATAATGTGAAATATATCGAGGGCAGCGCTGTTAAAGGGAGATGAGAGTGAATGCCGATGACGCGTATTGGCTAATAAAAGTGAAAGCGATTGATGTCGATGTAAGTGTGATGTGAACTTAACAGCCTCTTAATTTATAGCTTAGGCGTAGCGCTATAGCGAACAGCTATGAACCCGCGCGCCGCACAAGATAAATAAGGATTTTATGTAAGATAGTAGTTTGTTTTATATTGGTTAGCGAGTAGATAAGGTAAGACAATGTTCCTCCCGTCATATTCTGCGTAACGTGCATGCCAAATAATTAGCGTAGTAAATGTAGCTAAATAATTAAAAGTTACTGTGTGTACTTGAACTTGATTAGAGCGCATGTAGTTGCTGGGGGAGGGGGGGGCGATAGATACTTGGCCCTGCAGTTACTCGAGCGCGAATATTTATAATGAATTAAGGAAAAGTTCACGAGGTCCCGGAAAGGTCGATGATAAGCGATCGTGTACGGATCAATAAGAATTATCGAGGCTTTTCAATATGTGCAAAAACGCAATCGCATGGTAATTAGTGTTATAATGCTTGTACAATCGTAAAATTTTATTTGATAAATACGATGGCATGATGTTGGATAAAATATAGAAACGTACGTTGCAATGGCAATTGATTGCAGGATAATCGATGAATGATGTACCAAAAAAAAAAAAAAAAAAAAAAAAAAAAAAAAAAACAAAAAAGTGTGTAACAAGGTAGGCTATTATTATTGAATAATTAATTTCTATTTATTTATTATATATTTATTTACTTTTATCATTGTAATAATTTGTTAATGGCAATAAATTATAATTGTTTGACGCACATCTGAACTTGGTAACTATGCTCGTAAGATGTTACGTGTACTAAGAACGCATTTGATAAAAACGATAAAGATCATTATGATATTTTTGTTACGTAAAATTGTTAAAATGAAAACACGTTTTATGTCTATTTTAGCCTTTTTCTGAGGCAGAGAAGGCCAATTGTTAATTGCATAGCCAATAAATTGCTATTTATTTGACATCTGTATCTGAATAAGCATCTTTGCACGCGTATAGAAAATCTTCGAAATTGACATATCTGGTCCTTGTAAGAACTGCAGGCATTAAATCTGGTCCATTTTCAAGTCGCACATTATTATTTATACTCGGGACGACTTTATGAAGTGTCGAGGCAACACGCGAAACGTATCATCATTATGTTACAAGTTACAATTTCTGGAATATCTATTATATATGTATCTCTCTCTCTCTCTCTCTCTCTCTCTCTCTCTCTCTCTCTTTCTTATTGGCTCGAAGTTGAGCGAACCTACTACTAAGTAGGGCAAATATTGAAATAGGTATAAACGCTTACTAAAAGCTATAACCAACCTTTGAACCATATGCTTTTCCATTCATTATCCTCGCTAATTTTTACATTTGCTTAATATTCGTTCACGTAATTACAAAATGCACCCACTCTATGAAAACAATTTTTCATTTACACAATTTATCGAGCCTTTTTCGTTAAAAATTATCGTTGAATTAATATAATTCTTATCGATTAGTAGGTTTAATAACAGTTCCCTCGAAGTATCTCACTTATACATGTAGATAAAAATAGAGCACCATTTAGTTCCATGTCTTTTCATATGTTATTTTGATTACATTGTGTTTTTGTGATAACAGCTTCATTATCACAGACTTAATAAGTTGCGACGATAATAAGTAGTACGTCAAAGCGTAGTTTCAGATACAAAATAAAATCAATAGTACAAATGTTAGCCACTTATATCTAATTAATATTTAGGCGTAATATATCAAATTAATATCGTACAATACAAAATATGGATATTCACTCGACGAGGACAAAAACATTGACCACGAAGAATTATTTTACGATATCGACGAAGACTCATCTTTTCGTTTCTTTTTTTTCTTCTTTTTATTCTTCTCTTCTCTATTTTTCCCCAAGAAGGCGTTTGTTAAAAAAAAAAATCAACTACAACATAATGAATTTCAATACGAAGAGTTCTTATTAAAATAAATAAATATCTAATTATGGTTTAAAGAAATAATAAAAATGCAATTTTCTACTTAAAACAACAAATTGGAAGGAAGAACAAAAAATAAAAAACATTAAAAAAAAAAAAATAAAACAGAAAAAACAAAACAAAACAAAACAAAAAAAAAGAAAGATAAAAGATATATAAAGGAGAAAAAATTTCTTTTTACTACCCTATCTTGTTAAATTGTAAAATAAAATAATGAATAACTAAATTAATCGAGCCCAGAATCAAAGATAAGTAGATAATAGAACTTTTTACAGGAAGGTGAGAATAGTGTTCACACACATATTTATGAAAATAAGAGTATTCAATTTATACTAAGCAACTGTATCTATCCTCTGTAACTTTTCGCTCCTTTTTAATATTCTACTCCTAATAGGTGGTATAATAAATAGCATGACTCCGCTGAAGGCTATCATTGTCCCAGCAACGTAAAAACCAGGATCGTAGGATTTTAGCTTATCGGACAGGACACCTGCAAACAAACAAACAAACGGACGAGGAAATTTTTTTTACAACCATTAATAAGCCATATAATTATGAATGCAGCTAAAGGATAATCGGATAATGTAGTGGGACTGCCTTACCAGCAATGGGCGGCCCCAGGAACGAGGCGATCCCCTGGAATAACAGCACCAGTCCGAAGGCGTTGGTCAACCGCTCGAGGCCGACTAAATCGACCAGGCAGACCGAGGTGAGGCCGACGTAGGCACCAGCCGTGAATCCATACACCGACGCATAAATCGCAAAGGACACGAAGGAGCTGCAGAATGGGCTTAATGCAGTGGCTGCAAGATCGAAAGGAAAAGAAAAATTTATTATTGATTATAGGCTGATTGGTACCGTGCCATGACCTTCATACACACATGCATACATGCATATACATACACACATACATACATACACACACGCGCGAACGCACGCACACACACACACACACCCACACACACACACACACGCGCGCGCGCGCACAAACACACACAAACATTATATTTGTCGGGTCACGCGCGCGCGCGCGCGCGCACAAACACACACAAACATTATATTTGTCGGGATTTTAATGAAATATTGAGAAGAGAGTGACGGCCAAGTGAAACGGGCTATTCATAAGGAAACCTTACCTAAGCCGCAAACCGTCAGGCACAAATTGTACACCAGTAATCGATTGACCCAGGGCTTGTCCGACACATAGCCAAGAACGATTCTTCCGATTGTATTGGCAATTCCTATCACGGAAAGCAGTATGCTCGCGGTATCCTTATCCATGCCCCGTTCGATGGCTTGAGGCTTCAAGATGCCAAGACATTTTTAATTAGTCCCAAACTCCCAAACGCACCACGTAATGGGGATGATTGGGCCACGACTTACCAGCAAATAAACATAGGGTACGTTGAAGCCGATGCTCGTGCAAAAATTCGATATCGTGAAAATGATGAAGAGTGGATCTCTGAGTAAGGACAGCTGAAGCATTCGTTTCATGATATTCTCGTCGTTGGAATCGTCTAGGTACTCGGTACCATCGGTCGTCCTGTGTCCTGTACCGTTAGGAAGACTTCTCGATGACAGTCGTAATCGCGCGTTCTCCTCGCTATTCGTCAGCGACTCTCTGGGCATTGGCATTGCGAAACATGTCATCAATGAATGGAGCCTCGATCGATAGGGATCGAGCGCCTCGATAGATTATTGGATGTGTGGGATCGATCGCTTAGGGAATTGATAGGAGTGCGGGAGAGCAAACGAACAAACGAGGATTAAATAGGGGATCGAGGATTAGAAGCGTCGCTTCTCCGGTTGACAGTTGTTGGCATTCGAATCTAATTGTTAAGGAAATACGAGAATGGAAGTTGACTTACGAACGCTTACGAATGTTGTGTATGCTGCTGCGTAAGAAGACGTCCGAGCGATTCATTATTCCACTTCCACAGGAGACGCGGGGGAAGGGTTCGCTGGCATGATTGCCATCCTTTGTCATCAGGATCGGCTGGCTCAACGCGAGGCGAATGTTGTTCGAAGCACCCTCCGAGGTTTTCGCATTAGAATGCTTCTTCGGGGAAATGTGACTGACGCTTAAGCATCGGTCGACTCCTTGTTTCACCCTGTCCGACGCCTGGAACATCGATGTGCCGTTCTTCGTCACATCCTGTGGGCATTCGACGCGTCGGTTAGTCGTCCCACCTCGTTTTCCAATAAATATTTCCCAATGAATAAAGCTCTCGCGATACATTTTAATTCTAAATATTGTCGTAATGATATTGATCGGAATATTATCAATTTAATAAAAACGCTGCCGGCTAGTGTCGGGCGTAAACGGAATGCTAAAGGTTGATTGGTACGCGATGAGCTGATACCTTAAGTGGAATACACTCGGATGATTTAACAGGCTCGAGGGGTCTGAACATAATGCCAAAGATGATGCAGTTGAGGACGATGGCCGAGAGTATCAGCATTGCATATTTGTAGCCTCCGAAGTACCAAATGAGGTAGGAGATAAAGGGCGCAAAAACGACGGTACCTAGGCCCGAGCCACATACTGCGATTCCAGTGGCGAGCGATCGGTACTTTTCAAAGTATATCGTCACACTCACGATCGCCGGTAAGTAAATCAGTCCGAATCCGAAACCTGAAAATTATTTACAATTATCATTAGGCTTTAATATACATATATATATATATATATATATATATATATATATATATATATATCACTCTCACTCTCACATCATCTTTCGTTGATTATTTTATCTTTTTGAATTAAAATGACTTGAAACAAGACGCCAAAAAAGCATAGGCGCACTCACAGAGAGAGAGAGAGAGAGAGAGAGAGACTACTTATTATCTATTACATCGATGTTTTCAACAATACGTATATGCACATATAAGAAATATCGACACAAGTAATGAGATTTTCATTTATACATCAACGTTCACGTGAAATCTAACGAAACTTAAGAATTTTCATTCTTTCTTTCGTCTTTTTACAAGACATAACTAAAAGGTATTAATTTTCTTCACGCGTACTGACAATTGTGTCCCTAATACTATTATCATTGACGCTATTACGTAAATAATTTGAATTACAAATAAAAAAATTTTTTTCATCGATTCAAGAACTTGCCATTTACTTAATATTTAATTATTGCGGCAGAATTTTATCGGGACGAGATACTTATTGTCCAATTAAATTTTTGTAAAAAGATATACTACAACGGATTATTGAATTATTCAATTATTGCAAGCGTGCTCCCGCTTCTTTCTCACATACGCCGTCCTACTAATGCGACGTTCACGATAATTATATTAAAATTATGCCACACTCCTACGAGATAGACAGCCCTTTCAATACAATTACAAATACACAAACAATAATAAATATTTTTGGAATTTATTTAACGATTTACTATTTTATCGATCGATTAATGAAAAACTGGAGTGATTTTTTAAAATTGATACTCGTCGACTGGCCAACATCTGTCAGCGACGGCCGCAACATTACAACACGAGGAAATACTTTAGTTGATAATGATAGAGCGCTAGTGGGATAATATTTCAAGAGCACTTTATTCCTGTCTAATCATTTTGAGGAAAAACCGTTGCCATTGCGCAAGACACTTATGAGCCGAATAAGCTTAAAAGACTTGGTACACGATCGATTGGGCCCACCTTGAAAATATCTCCCAGCGAATTTGCGCTCGCGTTAAACTTCCGAGGACGAGGATAGAAGAGCTCGGCAAATAAACTGCCAATTCTACGTCCAATACTTACCCGTGCCAATTCCAGCTGTAAAATACAGCATGACGATGCTGTTGGCCCAGACGCTGATCAACAGACAGGCGCTCGCTAAAATCGAGCCAGCGATCGTCACGACCCGGCAGCCGAATTTGTTTACCAGAAAACTCGAAATCGGACCTAAAACAAAAAAAAATCAAAAACAACATAACGCGTCCGCCGACTTATTTCAAGGCCGTGGACGATCGAGCGATATCAGTTGGCTCTTGGAATTTAGGATTTAGGCGCTCGTACTAATGCAGTCATCGTCAACCGCCCGAGCCTAGGATCTCGGCTATACTTACCCGAACAGTAAGTGACACCGACGAGCAGCGACGTGATCCATGATGCCGCTTGATTCGTCGTGTCGAAATACTTTATGAAATCAATGTGAAAGACCCCGTAGGAATACGTCACTCCGTCAGCTGAAAAATAAGGACAATTGCCGATATTAAATTTGACGATGCGCTGCTCGGATAAGGAGGGATACACGCTGACGATATTAGCGAATTTTTCGATCTTCTTGGAGGGAGTTAATCTACGAATTATAATAAATACAATAATCACGAAGCTTATTGTCATGCGTGTCGGTTAAGATCGATGACGAAGGTTTCGACCAATTCCGCGTATTCTTGAGTTTCACAGTCGATTTCTCCACGAGGCAGATTATTGGTATTAGTAAGGCTGATTATAAACAGCATTATGCCATAATTATTTTATGGCAAATTTACTTTAAAGAGCTCCTCCATAAACTTTAACGGAGTTCTTTGCTCATAGGATTTTATCGGCTTTTAGTGAAAATCGAAAAATCGTTATGCTTACAAAGTTTAGTTTTATAAAATTGCAGATAGCTTGGAAAATCTTGTGTGCATTTAAGTGAGGCATTAGTCTTATCAGAAATCTTTGAAAATAAATTGTATTTGATTGTTAATTTATTACTCTACGTGGGAGAGCTGAGAGGCTTAAGCAGAAATAAAAAAAAATTAATTATTATATATATATATATATATATATATATATATGTATGTGTATGTATATATATAAGCTTACACTACCGTAATTAAAAGATCGTTATCTCAAACTAACGTGATATATTTATTTTATAATAATTTATAACGATACTTTCTAATACAGAAATTTCAATAAATTCAATACACAAAAATTTGTGGCAATTTTCTATTTTTCAGCTTTGCTTGTTTTCGGTAGAAAATGATGAGGCTAATAATGAAATGACGCGCATAGTAAAAAGGTTAAAAATTATTTGAATTTTATTATACTCCTTCAACTCATTCGATGCATCTTAATTTATGGTGATCGACTATGCTTATGTATTACATGTATTGTTTTTACGATAGGGGAACCCATTAAACGTACAACATAGTCCATATCGTTTGAGGTTCCAGAAGTTCGTTAAATGAACGGGACGGTCGTGATTTTGATAGAACAATACCTACGATTCCTTATTGCCGCCCAACGATTGACTAATTAATGAGACAACAAGGCTATTATTAAAATTATATCGCAAGTTTTTGAAATTACCATATGCAGTAATTAGATTAGATCGTATATTTCGCTACCAAAGCCCCGGCAAATTATGCATATAAACTCACAATCAAACAATTAATTTACATTATTTTACAAGAACAAGCGATATATTATTTATAACGATATGTAAAATTAATATACTGACTATGTAGTAAAAATTAATTTATTAATTGAAATTTTTAATTGTTTGTAATTAAGTTTGAATATTACTAGTTGGTAAAATTGAAGATAATACTAACTAACAAAATAAGTATATCCACAATTTCTTATAAATTCAATTATTATTATTGTTTATTGATTTTATTTTTTTTAATCTTGCAATTTACTATATTACGTATTACTATAAATATACGAATCGTAATTAATCGATTGAAATCTTTTAACGTTACCTAAGTAAATTAGATTTTTTTATGTTATATGAAAAAATGTTGGAGAATCGATTTATAAGCCATGCAATTGGCTGTTAAAAGAAAGGTACTGAATAATTTAATTTGCCAGCAATAATACTTTGTTAATTATTTTAATTTTTAAACATGCTTTAACATATGTATTTACGATAAAGAAATCTGAGACAAACAATTATTACAAATAAAGCATAGACGAATTTCTGCCGTGTCAGTCTACAATGCATTGTACGAAAAATAATTACACGAGATAGAAATAAAAATGAATTTAGCAAATAAATTAATTTGCATGTGAAATTAATTTTTTTATACATGAAATTTTACTATATAACTATTTGAATAATAATAATAACGATGAAATGATAAAATTGACAAACATAAAACGAATCATCTGTTTAAACGAATCTTCCGAATATATATAATCTTCGTGTATTTATTCATGTTTATGGTCGATAAAATTTTAATCTACTTACATTTTTTAATTTGATTACCGCAATTTGCCTACAAGATAAATAAATAATGTAATAATATATGCGTTTTACCAGTCATCCGTAAAATATTTTTCAGAAAATTGATATAATTATTGTGAAAGTAAATTGCTTTTAAGTAAAGTCGTAAGAGGAATTTACGTAATTATGACAAATATTTGAACTTTCAAAATATGACTCCAATAAGTCCTATACATTATTTACGTGTACGTACGTTAAACAAATAAAAAAAAAAACAAAGAAAAAACAAAAAAAAATATATATATCTAACAATACAAGCAATCATTTTTATTTTATATTACATAGTATATGTGACATTTGCTATATGAAGTAGTATACTACACATATAATATTTGTTACATATACGATTTAAAATAGTGAGATCCTCCTTTCAAGTAGTTAAAACATCTTCTTAATAGATAAAGCGAATTTTACGTAAAGTCATTTTACTTTATCGAATAAACGTTCTTTTGTACCGGAAAGCTGTTACAATGATGAATGTGCATATAAATATGAAAATAAAAATTGTTTAAAAAAATAAAGAACAAGTTAATTTGTCAATTGAGCATGAACGGAGGCAAACAATGCCATGGCTTTCTAAATATTTATGTAATTTTATAATAACGTTTGATTGTACTTATGCACATGAATAAAATTGCTCGGTGATAATAGTAATATTTTTTTATCAATGCGAGTTTTATAATAAAGTCCGTTGTGCGACATGATTTTTGTTTTGTTTTGTTTTGTGCATTTGTACAATTCTCATCTACAGCGAACAATGCGACAATATTAAGACATTGTAAAGTAGATTTAGTTTCGTTGGCCCGATTCAAAAGTTTCAGACAATATATTTCATCACTTTGTGCGCCTTGGACATAAACAGTTATATAAGGAGTACACGCGATATAAAAAATAATGGAAAATACTTAATAACAAAAAAAAAACAAAAAATAAAAAAACAAAAAAAATTTCTTTAAATAAATAGATGGTTTTTTTATTTTTAAAAAAATGCTGGAATAACTGCAATAAAATGTTTAAACGCTGTTACGGATGTTCGAATAATTTGAAAAAGACTAATGATGCCGTAAATGGAGTCGAAAGCCAATAAGGTTTTAAAATAATAGTCATCGTAGTTTTATTCATTTAAAACATTAAGTAATTGTATATTTTTGTTTTCATTAGCATTATTCGAGAACTGTTGAATCAACATACATTCGGTATTATAAAAATTTCTTTTTGTCCCCGAGTTAATTAATTATAGCAATACGTTCAACCATCGCAATTTAATGAACCTTATATGTACATTTAATGAACATTATATATGCATATGTATTAATTATTATCATTAATTATTATCGGTAATAATTATTAGCGGTAGTGCGTTAGCTTAATATTTTGAAGCTTCCGTATCTGTTAGAAGAATTAATTAAGCAGTATGTTAAGCCTCATAGAGGCTTGGTATTTTCGTTAATCAAAGGTAATTCACGATAGCATCATTCCAAGCGGGAGTGCGTTCTAAAAAATTTATCGAAAAATTTATGTGAAAAAGTGGCTTGCACAACACGGCTAACTACAGTTACAACAGCATTAACAATAAAAATTATCTGCCGCTGAGCAAATATTATTTATCTGGTTCTTCCATGAAGAGTGATAAAATAATAAATAACCTAATGCCGTAATGTAGCCAAAGTACGTAAAACGTTTCGTCTGCCAGATAATGGTTGGTGCTACCGTTTTCCTGCACCACGTGGACATGGCAATGCTCGTCGCAGTCGTGTGCCTTAAGCACTTAAAAGCAGTGCTCGTTAATTCTTGCCCTCCTCCACGTAGCTCCAAGTTAAAATTCCTATCGCTCGAAACACTTTATTCCGCAATTACATTAGGACGTAGAGCGGGGAACTGGGAGGGGGGGGGGGCTCAAAAGCCGTAAATCGTGCAGAATCGTTGTAAAATTACGAATCGCTCGTCGCTCATACCAACATTTTATGTGCCGAGTGCTTTGATGGCATTAGCGAGCTGCGTGCCCGGCCCCGAGAGAAATCCTTTGGTTAAATGATATAACTCACGGAGCGATATTACGGGCCAGCGAGCTCGTCGTTAATTGCGATTGTTCGCAGACGGGACTCGCGACGCGACAGGGCACTTACTCGCGGCACGGGAAACTTTCGCCTACGACGAGATGGCAAGCGAGCGATTACGTCGTAAGGGACGACTCTGGCGCATCAAGGGCCGTGCGAGCACCGGAACTGCGAGCCAAGGGACGCACGCGAGATAAGTCGAAGGGCAAAAAAGCCACCCCACGTATTACTACTATCCTCTAACGATCTCGAACGCCTTGACCACTGGCTCCCCCTCCCCCAACCCCACCATCATCTCATACAATAACGAATCATCGTACGGTGGCTCGAGCAATGCCCAAGTACTTTCTATTCTCCATGCGGTCGTTTCGCATGTTAAGCGCCGACGCGATTTTCAGACGATTATCGTCGCCGCTACGGCCCTAGCCTTCTTCTTCCTACCACCAATCGACCGATCGAGTGATCGGTCGAACACGCATCCTCGGCCCTACTCCCCCCGCCCAACGTCCACGGCACGCGCGAACGTGTTTTTTATTCGCAGTGTCTCCTTCGAATGTCCATCACTCCGCATGAGCTCACTTCGCGAGCTCCCCGAACGCAGTATCGACGCACTTGGCTGTATACCAGGAGCCTCTCAACCATAGTACAGGCTCCGGAGTAACGGCCGTCAGACCTCCTCCCCGATCACGTCCCATCCCATCGCCAAACCATCCGTGCGACGTGTATTATTTTGCTAGGTCTATCCGTCCTTTCGCGACGAATGCGCGCACTCGCCGCTTCCCTTCCGTCTTTATTTAACGAAGGGTGGGCGCGTGCTATTGGAGGGAGATGCGCTTAGCAGCAGCGCCGTTAATCGGTCCGATCGCCACGTTTATTTTAGCTATTTCAAGACGGACTAGGAAGAGCCGCG